AAAGATCAGATGGCTGAATGTGCCTGGAGTTGTTTCTCTTGTGCACAGTTCTGTTCCATTAACCCACATGTCTATTTTTGTGCCAGTAGTATCACACTGTTTTTATCACTGTAGCTTTGTAATATAATTTACAATGTAGGACTGTGATGCTTTCTGCTTTGCTCTCGTTACCCGAGATTGCCCCTTCTGTTATTCTGAATCTTTTCTGGTCTAGTATGGATTTTAGGGTTGTTCTCTCTAATTCTGTGAGGAATGCTGTTGCTGTTTTCATTGGGATTATATTACATCTGTATATCAGTTGAGTAAGTAATGGCCATTTTGACAATATCACTTTTATCTTTCCAGGAACAGGGGACATCTTACTATTTTCTGATATCTTCTTATATCTCCCTTTTCAGAATACTGCAGTTTTAGTTGCAAGTCTTTTACTCTTTTTGTTAGGTTAATTCCTAAGTATTTAATTTTTCTTGAAGCTATTATGATTGGTACTGTTGCCCTAATTTCTTTTTCAGTGGGTTTATTATTGGTGTACAGGAGCTCCACTGATTGCTGTGTGTTGATTTATAACCTGCTACCCTAAGGAACTTGTTTATTATTTCTAAGAGTCTTTTGGTAGAATTTTTGGGGCATCTTCCTTGTAAACTGTTTATCATTCTAATAAGTGCAGTACCCCTATGTATTTATATGGCTACTATTCTCATGAAGAGAATGGTTGTACAAATGAATGGAGAGGAAGAAAGGTGGAAAACTGATATAAGAAGTTTCATGGATCAGAACACATTATGTTTATATAGTATGTTCTACATGCATTCTATGTCGAGAGCAGGGAAGTAACTTCCTTTGGAGAATCTCAATGCACACTCTTGCCATTCTAAAGCTGTCCAAAGGAAAGAACTAGGCAAAATTAGAAGCTATGCTAAAGTTGTGGAACAAATGGTAGGGCCAAAGGTATTGTTTATATTCATAGATTGTCTATATCTATATATGTAAGCTTCATCTTATGAGTCAGACATAAATTCACTCATTCTTTTTTGTCTTTGTTTATAATTCTATGATAACACTTAATACAACCCTGTGAGATACACAGTGAAGAACCAGGTAGAGTGATGTTTACTAAATCTCATCATATTACAAAGTCATTATGGCCTCTTCTATAAATAGAACACTACTTTTTCTTCTTGTTTTTTGTATTCAAATATTAAAATGAACTCTGAAATTCTTTAGTGTTCCTTAATCTTTCAATAATCACTAAAATGTACATTATTTCCACTCTTCACATAGTAAGAAAGTTAAAACCATATGTCTAGTGTTGAACTTCTAATAAATTACATACCTCTAGAGAGTGTCTATACTTCTTTTTCCTCTTAGTTTTGTGAGGAAAGCAATGCATTTCATTTTTGAAAAACATTCCCTGAAGAATTTCCTCCAAAAACATTGGGGCTTCCATGCTATTTTGCACAATAAGCTGTATAAAATTAAAATTGATATCACAAGTTGTTAGCTATCCAAAAATAACAAGATTAAAAGGGAAAAGAAAAATGGCAATATAAGACAATTCTAAACAATTTTGCATTAACATATGTGTATGTGGTGAGTGATAATGAATGTCTAAGGTGATGAAACATAACTATGATGCAGTGAGGTGTTGTCAAGATTTTTTTTTTTAATTTCCAATTAGTGTTGGAGAGCTTTCACTACAATGTCATCAGCTACAGGCCTGTGTGAAGGCATTTTCGCTGCTGACGAAACTAGAAAAATATCATGTCTTTCCAAGACTTACAAAAAGTGAGAAATGTAATGTTGCATACAGACTTTTTTAGGATGGTAAATGACATTTTAAAAACCTTAACTCTTGTCCTGTTGACTTTGCATTAAGTCTTATAGGTCAACACTGTTACTCATCAGAAAAGTGATACATACAAAAAGGAAATGTATTTTTCTGACTTAAATTCAAAATGTTTGCTTTGTTATTATATTTAGATTTTGCTGATTTTATAGACAAATTTTAGTCTCACAAGGAGAGAATTCATGGACTTCGTATCTAATAAGTCAAGAATTTCTTTGATTTCCACAAAATTTAGATTCCATGTATGTCTTTCTATGATGCAAAAGATAGTTAAGTTACAAATTGGTCATTCCCCAGATTCTGCAGACTGCAGACTAGACCCCTTTAAATAGACAAATAAATAGCAAAATAGGAATGATAGCACCATTATGCATATATCAATATTTCCTTTTAATCCAAAACTAAATGGTCAAACATAATAAAAGTGATTTGAGAGAAAATCCAATGATTTGGAAAAAGCATTTTCTTTTAGTATTTCTAACATCCTCTTTTAATTTATAATCTTCAGTAAGGTATTAGACTATTTCTCAATCTAAATGTCTGAGTTGTAACACTTTACACTATTCCAATCTCTTCTCTTTGCTACATTTCTTAGCTAAATGTTGAATAGTTTTAATTCTTCAAGAATAAGATATTGTTTTTTATTCAACTTAAAGTTAGCTAAAAGTAGGAACTTTATTAGAATTTTATATAATTTTAAAAGGTTCTCTTAAACCTTTTGATCAGTATTTATTAATCCTAACATGTACTTAGCACTGAAATTCATGTGGTACACAATCCCTATTTCTCAGTCCTTATAGACTAGAAAGCAAGAACAGGCACATAGAAATGAAATATTTCAGCAATAATACAAAGTAATATGTCTTTAATCACCAAAAAGAGAGATGCAGTCTTCTTATATACCATAGTTTTTTAGGCAGGTAAAAAGGCCCCAAAACATAAGAAGAAGAAAGGAGACAAAACTCGTATCATAGTTTTTATCTAGTTAACTTTTCCAGAACTCAATTTACTCTTGTACAATGCAGAGGTGCAAGCATAAAGGTTCTAAGATCCCTTTGTACTTGAATAAGGCAGACCAACTGGAATTGGGAGACTTGGAGAACTGTGTAAAAAAGTTGTCATTTCAGTTGGCCATGAAAATTGGGGAAAATCTGATTAACAAGAAGGAATAATAAGAAATGGGAATACTATGAATAAAATCTGTAAATAAATGCTGAAGATTCCATAGTTAGGAAATCAACAATCTTGGCTAAAATAAAAAGAAAAGTAGGTTGATGGAAAAAGGCTAAAATATAGATGTCAAAGGGCATGCTGAAGACTTGAAATTTTTCTATAAGCTGTACAGAAAACTTGGAAATTTTTGAGCAAGGTAGTGATAAACTCATAGGAATATTAATCATACATAATAGGTTGGCTGAAAGAAGACTAGAAAATGAACTCAAGGATTATTGCCTCTTGGCAGAAAGATTGGCATTAAAATGACAGAAATGAAAATAGATGTGAAGCACTGAGATTAGAAAGCATTTAAGCCAGTATAGATGAGATGGTCTGGTGACTGATTGGAAGTTACTAAAAGAGAAAGAAGAGTTGCTTCTAAATTTTTTTTGAAGTATGTCAAAGAAGGATTATGGTGCTCATGAAATGGGAAAGATTACTGCAGAGAGGAAGGGAATGGTCATCTAATGATCGCAAATCTTCACTTAGCTTACAACCTCTGGCCTTGTGATATGTAACATTCTAAGAAGTGATTTGGAAAAACTTGAGCTATATTGGTTAGGGGGTAATTATGAAAATTCTGAGGATCTTGGCAGAGGTGCAAGACCAAGCAAAAAAATCATAATGTCTTTAAAAAATCTCTTCCTAAAGATTGAAAATAGGTTCTTACATTTCTCCTTGAACAATGGGAAGAGATATTTTTTCAGTATTAAATTGCATCTGACAATAAATAAATTGATAAGTTCCATTAATTTAAAATATACTTTCATGAGCATTTTCATTGCAAAACAAAAAAAGAATATCAAGTTAAAGCCTGGCTCATAACTAACTACTTACTCCATATAGCATATATTTTGTTAAGCTAAAATAAATCTACATAATTAAGTTTACTAGCAACTTGTGCCATTATATTTTGTCAAAATCAAGAGGTGACATGCAATTAAACTTACTTGGCTTAGCAACTTTTTCTGTTAAAATGGGTCTTTTAAACATGTCATTGCCAACTCATCTCAGAAGCAGGCTTTTGATCTTGTAGGAGCAAACACATACTTGAGAAAATGGTATTTGTTAGCAAAGAATCTTATTAATTTGTCTTAATGAGAATCAATTGGTGTTTACTGGGTTACATTTATTCAATATGTATACATGAGCAATTATATAAACTACTTATGACAGTTAAACGGTCTTATTACTCAAGAAAGCCTCTTGTCTAGCTATCTTACGAGCATAAAGGAACTAAATTTTTACAATTATCAGGCAGCCTTTATTCCAAATTCCCACATGAATGCCCCCAAAATGTAAAAGAGATAACGCTTTTCCTATTTCTATAGGAAAGTACGTATTCTCTGTCAGGTCCTGCCAGCAACTAAACTAGTTCTTGTCTCCTTGTGGACAACACTGACTATATAATGGAAACATGATATTTAATTTATGAATAAAAAAGCTGTAAGATTTGCTTCTCTGGCATTTCACTTTTTTTAATTCCAGGACCAAGAAGTGAGTACACAATAAATAAGTAGGTACTAAAGAAATAGTTTTGAATATATAAATAAATAAATAAGGCTTTTTCCAAGATTAATCTATTTATCCTAATTCTTGCATAATGAATAACCCAAGAAAATGATTCTAATAGTAGAAATAAAAGCATTCATGACAGTTGCTATTTTCACCTTTTTAAGGGTGGTATTTTGATGTAAAATTTAGTATCAATCATGGCATCAAAACACCTCCACCAAAGTATGACCCACAGTGTCCCAACTCTTTCTATAGTGCCCACTTACGAGTAAACATTGAAAAAGTGGCTGAAGTGGGGCAAACTCTTTCCACATCTGCCCCCTATCTCCCAGCTGTTAATTTCCCATAATGAGATTCTAGTAATATTGATAGTGTATCTAGAGTCCTACAATAAGCTCTAATTCTCAAATTTAATGAATACACAAGCAATGATTGAGTTGGGAGACACGGTGAAATCTGTTGAGTTTTTTTATTTGTTTGTTTGGGCATCTTATGTTGTCGTTGTTATTGTTGTTGTTTGTTTATTTGTGGTCTAGGCTGACCTTAAATTCCCTAAGTATCATGGGCTGGCTTCCCTCGCTCAATTCTTTTGCTTCAACACTGGGAATACAGATGTGCACCACCATGCCCAGTGTTGTGAGTTTTATTTTGAAGAAGACCTGATATTTCCATGTAGTAACAGAGAATGTACCATCTGAAGCAGTGTAGGCTGTCAAACTGTTGAAGAATGACCACCATCTTCTATTCTTTCAGACCATGTCCTAAATGAGGAAGGAAATTATTCTGGAAAGAAGGCAAAAAGTATTTAGAATTGGTGATAGATGGCACAGTAGATACAGAATTATAAAGGTATAGTTCACATTTTTTCCTCTGATACAAATCATCAAGGACTATTCCAAGTTTTCACTTCAGAGAAATGAATTTACTGACCTAAAAAAGTCACACCTCCAGATGCACAAGAAAGTAATAATTATCAGATACAAGCTGTTTTTATGCAAGGGACACAGGACAGTCCAATAGAATAATAAAAGGTGTATTATAAAGTATAAAAATAAGGTACTATAATTTTTAGATAAAATATATGAAATACTATTTATAATAATATTTATCATATACCTGTACACCAGCACTCACATTAAGACCAGGCTCAAATCATTTAAGTATGCCAAATAGTCCAACATTTGCTAACTTTCGGTTTACTGTGATTATCTACATTTTAAGGTGATTTATGGGTTACATTGCCTTCTATAATGAATGTACACAGTTATTCAAAATAAAATGAGGAATATATGTAGATATTTTTCCTACTATATGTATGTATACCAGTTATCTTGGGCCAATATATTTAAAACAATTGATAAAGTTAAAGGAAATTTTTTATGTATTTACTTACATTTACTTATCCACATCCATCTATATTAATCAATCTATATCTAGCCACTTATTCATGCATCTATTTACTGATCAATCTATATATCAATTGATCCATGAAATGTGTGAATGAGTTACACATTCAAAATGTTTGAATGCCACTGGTATTGAAACACAGCACAAACATATTCCATTTTGTAATTTGCATTATAACTTGGGGGAGCATGTGTTTGTGCTGGGAGAGACATGAATGTAAAAATGAAGGTGATACATTTGTAACTTAAAGATGTTAATGGTCAATGAAGTTCATTCATCTAAACAAAATTATGTTGTAATATCAAAATATGTCTGTTACTTTAAAACCAAAATTAAAAAGTGAAAATATATGATGATAATTCAGTTTGGTTTTTCCATTGTAAAAAGAAAGATTATATGTGCATTACATAATATTTTTGTTAAAGTGCTTGCAAATGCAAACCTGAAAGCTTCTCTCTTATTTTATTATTAAGAAAGCAAAAACCATAATTACATAAAAGCAAATTGTATAAATGTTACAAAAATATTTTATGTAAAGCATTTAAATTTATATAATATTGAAATAATGGAATTGTATAAATACATGTGTAAGCACAAGTAATAAAATCATCAAATATCAATTCATAAAGGCAATCACTGTCTATTTTTAATATTATGAATATACAGTGAAATTTCAATATACATTTTAATATATTTCAGTCCTCAAGCCAATTTTAAAATGTGTTTGTCAATAAGTTATGGAAACAATCATGCTTGACATTTAATTGAAAAAAAACACAATATTTTTATATGTTTTGACTATTATTAGAGTGTATTAAAGGGCACTTCATAATGGAATCTTTGAAAGATACTGATTTGATTTAAATATTTTATAATCAGCTCTTTGTCTTACATCAAAAAATTGAGAGAATGGCTTAAACATTCACTGGTAATGGTAAGAGCTATGCAATGTAAGAGAAAGAAAGGGAGGAGAAAGGAAAGAGGGAGAGAAAAGAGACAGAAGAAGAAAATGAGAAAGGGAGGGACAGAGGAAAAGGGAAGAGGAAAAAGAGAATTAAAAAAATAAAGGAAAGATGAATGGAAGGAAGGATGGAAAGAAGGAATGAAGGAAGAGAGGAAGGAAGAAAGGGAGAGAGAGGAAGGAAAAGAGAGAAAGGGGAGAGGAGAGAAAGCTGGAGTGAGGAAGTTAAAAGGAACATAGAAATCACTACATTGCAATGTATTAGGGGAAAAAACACCTGAAACTTTTTTTTGTTTTGTTTTGTTTTTTGTTTTGTTTTTTTGAGACAAGGTCTTACTAAGTCACTAAACTGTCCAGGCTGGTCTAGAACTTGCAATCCTCCTGCTTTAGCTTCCCAGAGTACTGGGATTACAGGTGTATGCTACATTCCTGCTCTAATATGTATTGAGCTCTTTCTATAAGTCAATCTCTGTAGAATAGATCTTCACCTAAAAAAGTGTTTCCATGTTTATGTCAGAAGAAGATGGCAACTATTTTAGGTTGACTGGATACATGGTAGCCAAACTATTCAACCCTGCTATTCTAGTGCAAAACCCACATGCACAACTTGTAAATAGACAAGATACCTGTGTTATAATCAAATTTTATTGACATATTGAAACTTTAATTTCCTACACTGCAAAATATTCTTCGTTTAATTTTTTCAACCATTTAGTAATGTAAAAATCTATCTCAGTTGATTGGCCTTACAAAAGCAAGCACTGCAACAGATTTGGCCTCCAGACCACAATCCCCGCCTCTTTCCCATGCTGCACTTACCACTAGGATTTCTACAGGTGCAAGGGAATTTCAGTCTCAACATGAATTCTTTCACACAGCTTTACTTCCTTGGATAACCTTCATAAATTTCTGCCTACACTCTCTTGAAGGGATTAACTTTAAATGTTTAAAGGAGCTCTCTTTTTCTGAGAACTTTATACTGTACAAAATAGAAGCAGCACTTGTCCACTGTGTATTACACAATAATGTGAAATAAGCATTCTTTTCCACTTGTCATCAAACAACTCTACTCTTTGGCATTTCTATGGCTCTAGAATAGCTGTGGGCTGTTGTGGCCCAGGACAGAGAGCAGGAAGGGCATAACAGGTAGGCTGCAGACCAGGGAGGATGTGACAGAGTAAAAAATGAAAAAGTTGCACAGAGATGACTGTGTCAGCGCAGGAGCATGGATGGGGATCGCCCAAGGCAGGCAAGGAGAGAGGGGGCTCCGGGGTGCTGGCAGGCAAGTTACTGTAATTACTGACAGAGAGAGCTCTGAAATTACGAGTGAGAAGCTGCAAAATATAGCCATTACTATCAAAATAATCCCACTTGTAACCCAAGTGTGTCTAAGGAAACTTGGGTTACTTTACTTATTTCATGTGTATAATAATCATGGCTGGACAGTGTTCTTTTCTTCTTTTTCAGACGTACAGAAATGCACATAGAAACTAAAGCTAATGGAAATGTAGGAGGACTAAAGGGAACACATCCTGCTACTATTTCTTTTGTCCAGGGCTCCCCTCTTACTTTGGATTTTCCTTTGTTTTGGGGGTGGGGGTGTAAGAATTTTCTTGTGTGCCACCAAGTGCATCTGGTCCAAGAGTATGTAAGTGACTTGGGGTTTTGTTTTAGTTTTTCTTTGTTTCGGTTTGCTTTTACAGGACTTAGCTGAGAGTGACAATCTAAAATCCAAATGTTGGAAGTCCTAATTATCACGGAAAAAAACTATTTTTAAGAATGATTTGAATCTTCATATGGATATTTTTAAAATAGAGGCTGATAACAAAGCACTTACAGTTTAGTACTTACCTTCACCAATAAGAAAGAAAAATATCTCTAATCACATTAATAATTGCATTTTACAATTCATTTTGGAATTGATTTCCATCAAATCATTGTCTCATATTACCTAACAGCACAGGATACAACGTGGCCATCTTTGAAGCTTTCACTCTGAGGTGGGTTTCATGAACACAACAAGAAGAAAAATCTCAGAGAATCATTTTCTAAAAATTATTGAAGTCATGGAAATAATTTAAAAATATGTCTTTGGTTTCCAGTATTGAGTGTGGATGTGTTGTTTTTTGATTCTGCATCACTGTTTTTAACTGAAACACAGCCACAGGCAGAACTTCCTAGCAGTAGTGTGGTGAAGAGTTCCTATCATGTCTGAGTCATGATCAAAACCCTCATCACTCTACAGTTTGCAGCAATTTTCACTGTTGTAGCAGTGATGACAGCTTTTCCCATCACATTTTTCTTAGGTTTCTATGCCTGGACTCCAATTTCTAGATTTGAACGATGTAAAAAAAAAAACGAAAAAAGAAAAAAATAAGGAGGAAAGCAAGAGGGAGGGAAAAATGGAGAAAGGAGGAAGGAAGGAAGGAATAAAGGAAGGAAGGGAGGGAGGGAAAGGGGAGGAGGGGAAGAAGGGATAGAGGGAGGGAGACAAGGAGAAGGACATTTTCAAAGAAAAAAATGTCAGCTTGCAAAAAATTCATTTTGCCTATGAAAGATATCACTCATGTTCACAGAATCTAGTCCACTGGCCATTAATATCGATCAGTATTTTTTTTCCCAACAAGACCCACGGTGATACCCTCAAGCTCTCTCAAATCGTGGTCAACACACACAATCGTGGGATTACAAACTTCTTCATCCATAACAAATTTTCAATCAAAAAACACACCTAACTTATTAAGTTGCATCTCCAGCTGACTTTGTATTCCATTTTCTTCCTGCATTCAGCTGGAATTCACAAATAGCAAAGTATAATGCTTTCCATGTTATGTGTTGCCAGGCAATCAGGGCAGAAATAATTAACACGAGAAAGTGGACTGCCAGTATCCTGCTGAATGGCTCTGGAAAGAGTTCAAATATGACAAACATTCTTAGCTGTCCCTTCTGGGACACGTGCTCCGAAATAACAGTTTGAAAGGACAACTGCCAACTCCAGTTTCGAACAGTTTGACAGCACTACAGAATTTCATTCTAAAATCTGACTTAGTTTTTATTTAAAGGAGAATTCATCTCTGCACACTGTCTTCCTGTGCCCATTCCTAAGAGTTCTTCCTGATCCCCTGCTGCCTCTGTCCAAGTCCAACTGCGAAATGAAGCTAATCCTGAGCACTCTATCTTTCTGTAAATGTAGAATTCACACAGAATTCAAAGGAAGATGTGGGCCTGTGAAGAGCTTGTGTCAGGCAGGCCAAGGGGATCACACATTCCTTTGTAATATCCGGTCTCAATTGCTGCCTAATTCTTTTTAAATAAAAAGCAAGTTGGAAAACCAATCAGTTCTGTAAACACCTTCCCAAAGAGAAATCGTCAACCAGAAGCAACTAACATGGAAAGTAATATGCAGATATCTAAAAACTTTCTAAGAATCACATTTGAGTTTATTGCAAGTCAGGTCAATGAACATTTGGCCCCATTTTAACTGCTGGAAACAATTACTAAGGACATGGCCTCACCTTTCAAGTAAGTTTAATCTGGTAGGAAAGATACGGATGTGAATAATAATTCAGTGCATTCCATTAAATACTAAAATAGAATTCTACATAGGGTGCAGGAGACAGAGAGGTCAGGAACTCCCATGCTTCTGTGGTTTTACAGATGTTAGCACTTGTAAAAGAAGAAACACAGTGTACTTGCTGGAACATAGGCATACAATGCACACTATCCTCTCATCTGTGTTTCTTTACTTGCTCCAAATCAAACTCCTGATCTCTTTCACCTATTTGGATTTGAAATTTATTGAATTTATAGAATGTTGACATTCACGGAATGTCTATTTATTTGCCACACATTGTGTTAAGTTATGGGGATATATTAGAAGACAGGATAGTCACTCAGCTCCTGCCTTCATAAAAGCTGAATTTTTCTCTACCTGTCGATCTACTTTCTAAGGTAAAGCCCTTGTGGTCCTGACCTCTTTTTGAGGCTGCTTCCAAAGCAAAGGGACTCTGAGCAAAGTCTTCAGTGGCATTTATCCACTTTCAGAAAGGGCCGGCAGTGATTTGTTTGTGCTCCTACAGTGGCTGTACCTTAGAAGAGTAAACTTCCTGGAAAAAATACCAAATCAACTCCTGTTTTTACACAATCACAAGTAAATCTTTGCCAGCCTTTCCTACCTGATAACTTAAAATTGAACCCAATTGGAAAAAAAATCCCCTCTCTTTGAAAATTTCCATCACTTAAGTATATCTCTTTTGATTATTAGTAATTAAAATAGTCTTATCACCCTAAGAAATTGGAAAATAATCCATCTAAGTACTGCTAACTTTTAAGTCCTAAGAGAGGCTCACATCTTCCCTTTAATATCAACCTTTGTAGTTGCTTTGTCCAAAGTTCCATTCCCTTAATTGATTCCCAAACAGACAAAATTATTGGAGTCACCTTTATCTTTCCCAGGTCAGTTATTTTCAGTTACAGCATTTCTAATTTCTTGCAGGTTTCATAGTAAAAATATTTGTCCTAATGAGCACTCTAAACCTATTTCCAATTACTGAATAGCTTTGTTGTTTTTGACTTGAGATTTAACAATCAGGAATTCATCTCTATAAAGCAGCTAAGGTTATGGTTCTATCTTGCTGTTGTAGAATATCAAAATTCTTTTTGAATGGGCAATTAAAAATTTCCCTGTAATAACTTACTGTTTTGTTTTTGTTTTATGAATACCCGTGTTAGATATCTTGGCAACCATTTGAATTACTTTCTTCAGGCAATACTATTTCCATTGCTCGTGGACTAATAGACAGTTTGCCCGTGCCTCTGTGGACCAGACAATCAGTGAGTTGAGTTGCACTGGTCAATGAGCCCTGATGAGGTGTGATCAGTAAATTCCCTTATCACCATGGTAACTAGTAAGCCCCCTTAAACAGTGCCCTATCTTGGTACCTTGGGGAGAGAGCTTAGTGATGCATTACTGTGATCTCCCTCTACATTAACCTTTTGGTTTGATTCAAAATCTTTATGGGTATTGTTCAACCAATTACAAATTCTTAAAAATATCCACATCTCTAATCTGGCACCCTATCTGCAGTGATACCACAAAAAAATTTAAGCCATGCTTGACTGAAGTCAATGTAGATGATGTCCAAACTTACTATTTCAATAATATTTTACACAAAGAAAGGAAGTGGTTTAGCTGAATTGTTCTTTATAATCCCAACTAGATCTTAGTGTTCTTGTTTTTCCTAAGAGCCCACAAAACATTGGTTTAATTTTTATCAGAGTTTTCAGCTTCTGGTTTAATCTTGACATAAGACAGGCTCTCTTTGATTCAATTTAAAGCTTTTCTTTGTCTATTTTCCCTGAAATAATCAATACAGTTAGCCCATTTTCCAATTTTGTATAGAAGCTGGTTTTCCATGTCAGTTTCCATGTCAGTGGATATCTTTGTGTGATATATTCCAATTAAATTTCTCCTGAAATAATCATAGCTGTTAGAATTCTACATTGGAGCTTTTAGAATCCTAATCTTTTACAAAAGAATGCAGTAGGTTGGCTGTAGGCTATTTGCTGGTTTATATGGAGGAGGGTGCTAATTGACTTTTAATTAACTAAGCCAATAAGTTCTGTGCCTCCAATCCATTTTTTCTCAAAAGATTAGCAACCTCCAAAAATCATATCTGTTTCTAAGATGGTGACCTTATCCAGACTGTTTCTGAAGGGCACATCTTTTTTGGATGACAAGCACCGCACAGGTTTTGGAATTTCACATTTTGCATGCACGTTAATGTAGGAAGTGAAATACTTAGCCAAGACTAATGGCTTATCTGCTATAAGCCATAGATGGGGATTGGCAAGTTTTCAGCTTTCCACTCAACATTTTCTCATTTAAGGCAGACTCTGAGCATCACTTGAATGCACTTTTTGCAGTTTACTTTATCATTATGCATTGTCATGTGATTTTATGTCACAGAAAAACAAAGTAAATAATGAAACTTCTGCATTATTATTAGCCACAAGCATAACTCAAATGTTCTAGGATTTTACTGCCTTTGAATGGATCCACAGGAGATTATATTAACAGTGTCAAATGGCTTGGTTCATAATCCCAAATTTATTCATCATCAGAGTTATTTCTGTGAATCTGGTGATAAGTCATGAATGCTAATGACATGGATCTTCTTAATGTCTTTTCACTCTGGGTACTCTTGCTCCAAGAGTCACATTACCAATGGCAGAGTCTCTGGTGTTTTCTGTGAGAAACTGTTTTTCTGCAATATTTTTCACCAAAAATTTCTAACTTTTAAAAAGAACTCCCCCCAAAACTGCAAAATTCTAATGAAACTAAATAATACTATGTTATCTTCATCCTAATAGTGCCAAAAGATGACTTAATGCTTTATTAATATCTAAAGTCTCAGCTTTAGATCCTTGGTCTCAAAGAATGAAAAGATTCTGACCTGTACATCTCTCCAGTCTCTGGCCACTAAAAACTTTTGCACAAAAATTTAAACATTTTATTATTCTCATAAATATCAATATGCCTAAGGGAGTGGTACTGGGCCCAAAATCATTAGACACTGTATGATTTTATGTTGCCAAGACATCCTTCTTAAATAAATGGAGAGTACCCTTTAGCCAAAAGAAACAGTATAAAATATGGCAAAAAGAAAATCGGACTACCTATTCTTGCTTTTTTTCCCTTTCCCAGCTAGGACTTCCTTCCAAAAAATAGTTCAGGGTAGTGATGCTTATGTCCGTTCCAAAGATAGGGGTCACAGCTGGTAGTGTTATATGGATATCTCTTATGACTAAACCACTCTGTAGTGTGGGTCTGTTTCCTTGCTCCTAATGAGTCCTGGATTTGGAACTGCAATAATTCATCCATCAGAAGACGGTACTGCACTCATGTGCTATTTGTCCGTGAGTGAATCACCTTCAATAGAGTCTAAATTCCGTAATTTTGTATGATGGTTTCTTGAGTGTTTTGTGAGAGAGCTCTGAAAATCAGGATCCCATTTGGAAACACTGGTAAGGATTCTGCCAATGACTGTTGTGTTACTAAGCACACATTTGTATACTTTAAAGCAATCTCAATTACAAAGAATGACATATGTGGGATAAAGTGATAACTGGCAAAATGACAAACTGCAAGGCTTAAATCATTCAGATTACATTATCTAAAATAGTAAATTTTCCAGAATAGGGCTGTAGAAATTTCTAGGAAATATACCTTCATGAAGCAGAGTAATTTTCTCACCATCGAAGCACTGGCTGGCATGGATGCCCTTGTTTTCTGAACAAAGAATCAGAAATCATATATCCTGCGATGCTTTGAGTCTCACTTTCTTCAAGGATTCCTTTGTTCTCTGATCACTATTTAAATCAAGGACAGGTCAAATGACAAGAGAACAGGTGTCATAAATGAGTGGAACAGCAAGACAAAAACTGTAGTAAGTTGAGATGGAGTTCCATACATACATATCTTTCCAAATTACATTAAAATTAAAAGCTCAAATAATACATGTACCGGCCATGCCTTAGGTCTGTCTCTAGCCTGCTGGGTGCTTTCTGCAATTCAATCAGCGGCTTTTGGACCAAATCTCATTGCATCTTTTGCATCTTCTAAATTCACTCATATCTCCTTCTTCCTAATGGCTAGTAACATTCCCTAAACAACAGGTTACATTCATTCTTTCACACCTATGAGGCAGAATTAATATTTAATTCCTATTTTTGTAAGTTTTTTTTGGTAAGTGGCAGAAACTAGTAGTTAAGTGGAACTGTGCATAGTTAGTCTTTAACTCAGGGCCATTCATTATTTTTAATCTTAAATATGAATTCATTCACTCCAAGCCTATGTAAAAATTCTAGTATTGATTAAGTTCAGATACCTAAATATATCCTGCCTAGAAAATGCAAGTAAAACTACAGATAAAGCAATTTCTACTAAGTTACAATGTTAAAATTGAAACTTCAGCAGTCCTTTAAAATACTAACAGAAAGTCAATGATTGCCTCCCAAATATTTTTAAAAGCTGAAAAAGGTGAAGACTATGTTAATGCACTTTCTACTTTGCACACTCCACAGTTTCTTACTAGTTATTATAGCTATTGTATGTCTAAATAAATATAGAGAGAGGATAGGAACGCAGTTATTTGATTTCACAAATAATGTAAGATTCAGATACTGTTTTTCTATCTTAAAGTTAAGTCTCTTAGAAAACAGTTAAGAATAATGAAATGGTTCAGATGGCAGGATAAGTTTTCAAGATATAAATGATTCTACCATAAATATTCATAATCATGTTAGCTTCACTTTTTAAACAATTTTCAATATGTTATCTTGCTACGGTATAACTTCTGGTCAAATCAGAGGCACAAAGGTTAGGTTATGCTTCTTTCATTAATGATTTGGCTCAATGCACACAGCAGTATAATGTATTTTATGAGTGAGGGAAATGATATCGGTTTGAGAGGTCTCATGTAACAGTCATATCCTGTCCAAATATAATTTTGAAAACAATCAGAGCCATTATGGCTCATACAGAAAGAAAGATAAAGACAGATAGCTGTATATGGGTTTTTAATAAGTAATTCACCCTGGGTCTTGAAACATCAGATTGCCAAGTAATGTTATTAATGTATAAGCATGTTGGTAAAATCATGCATTCTTTCCATTGGTTGGCTTTAGATATGTTTCCAATGCAAATATTGTGTAAATGTATTGAATCCAAGTTATGCAAATCAAGAATGTAATTCATCTTTCAAGAATTTTACTTGATTATTTCACATGCCAAAGGAGCATTTTTCTGGCAATAGTCTACTGACTATTTATATCTAACATTTTCCACTGGTGAAATTATGCATCTTTTGCTGAATATTGGATATTTATTGTTTAGTATGTTGATCACCTCTCAGTCTTTGAGGTTAGAGTCTTATGAAACTTTTTATTTGAGGGTTCTATAATGAAAATGCATGGCAAGAGATTATTCGTATTATTGAATTGATTTTGCAAAGAGAAGTGTGTGTATTCGCAAATGAGAACCTAAAGCAAAGCCTTAAAAATAAAACGTCTTATACCCAGAGTGCTTGACCATCAATCATGTTGTTGGAGCAGATTTCATAGACACTCCTTCTTCCATCTGGCTGCTTTCCTCTCCTCCTGCTCACTTAGATAGCAAGCCTCTGAGATACAGCTTGTCCTCATCTTAACACCAAAGTCCCAGTTTGGAATCTTATTGTGGCAATTCTCATATTTAGCACTTACTCAACTTCAACTCTGAGCATGAACTTCAAACGCTGAACTACACAGATTAATGTTCTACATTATTTGTGCACATATGAATCTTCCTCATGGAACTGAAAGCACCTCTGAAGATTTCTCTGTATCATACTCAGCTTTGATGCTTGGGCTTTTGCTTGTTTCTACTTAATTTGGTCATTAATACATAGCTAGTAATCATAATAAGGTGACAATTATTGAACACATGTTACTATTGGTCTAAGGGTTTTACATTATTATTTCCCTGATACATCCAAATAATTCTTAAGGTAGATGTTGTAATGTTTCTCATTTTATAGATGAAGATATTGAAACACTAACTTTATAGTTCTACAGTTAGTAAATGGTAAAGCCAAGTATACTGGTGTACTCACTAAAGTCTAAATATTTTTTTAAATGGAATAATAACAATAGTTAAAACTGAATACTTTCTCTGTGCCTGGAACTATCTTAAAACACTTTTTCTAATAATTTATAGAAGAGTCAGTATTACAATAGTAGTCAGGTGCTCTGCTAAGGGGTGAGATAATCTTGATTCAAATACAAGCTCCCTCACTCACTGAAACTGCAAACTGGGTTAATGCTGGTATTGTTCCCTTTAAGAGATGAGGAAAATGAGAAATCAACAAGTAACAATGGTCTACTCAAAACTGAATGCTTGCATTGCTTTACATCATCCACCAATTATGATTATTAACTCTGGAGCTGATGCTCTCTCCATAGGAGGAACTGTGGAATCCTACAAGTAGCCTATGTCATCCAGGGACAACAGGAACCTTTGGAAGGTTTCTGTTTTATTAGCTAGAAATTGCCTATCTAGTGCTTCTTCCCATTAATTCTTGTTCTACTTTATTTGATAATGATCATGTTTTATGTGTCAGAAAGAAACACCCTAGAACTCTCAACCCAGTATCTTCTTCACTTGTCAAAATCATAGCCAAAGAAAGCATAATTTATTTTCTATTTCATTGTCCTCTAAATGTTTTTTTTGTTTGTTTTGTTTTGTTTTGTACTGGGGATGGAACTCAGGACTTTGGGCTTGCCAGAAAGGCACGGCACCACTGAGCTACATCCCCAGCCCATTGTCTTTTAAATGTTCGATGCTTGCCTTCAGGAGTGTTTATTTTTCAGGATAAATATCCATATTTGTTCAACTATTTCTTTGGGTATTCATCCCCTCCAATGTAGCCTATGATTATTTTATATTTACTATCCCTTGAATGGCCTCTCATTATGTTGTTGTTGTTGTTGTTTTGCCCTGATGTTCTGCTATCCTGAGTGTTCTCTGCCCCTGGCTATTAGCTATTATGCTCCACCCCTACATATTCTCTGTTTTTCTCATTTAATGGGTTACTAATAGAGGTATAAACTAAAATATTACTTAACATTGCAAAAAATTAGGAACTCTAATGTTATTTGTACACCTTCTCAAAATATGAAGCTTGGTAGTAGATACTTAAGAGTTTTTTAGATATAGACAGATGTATAGATACATATGTACATAGATTCATATATAGAGACAGATTATACAGAAATATAGTTGTAAGATGTGATTACAGGATGTAAAACTGATCTTTTATTCAATAATAGTTTTCATATGCTCCTGTTAATTTCAAAAATCTCTGGGTAGTTGTATTAACTTCTGGCTACCTCAGTTATATGAAATTATTTCTTAGTACTTCTCTTGTCCTCTCTTTTTTCCCTCCCATTATCCATTCTATTTACCAATAATCGCAGCATCACTTCTTTTTCAGGTAGTTTATTTTTAATCTGTGGACTCCATTTCTTACATTTTCCCCCATGATTAATTTACAACTTACTCTCTGCACTCACTGTCAGTCACTAGTGCTATCTGAAATCCATTATAAATTCATTTGAATCTTGAAACTTTCCTATTTTCAAAAATACTTTATCAAAACAAAGATTTTTAAGAAGAGACAGCTCCTGATAAAAATCATACCAACCCTGAATGAGGTCATAACATAAGGTCTGATGATGGCTTACAACAAGAAAAAGCCTAATTCATACCTCTACTTACGGTTCTATCATCTACACAAATGAATAACCAAAAAACAATATACAGTACTTCCACCTATATATGTATCAAAACCTGCTAAAATTTAAACAAGATGCATTCAACTAAAGATCTGTGTCTCCTCATTCCTTACAAAGGACCATAGTTGGTCAAGCAGGCATCCATTAATCTTAAGGATGGACCAGAGTTGGAACTCAGTGTCTTGGTATAACTGTGGGATTGACTTGGAGTTGGGAGGCAAGCAGATAGAAGCGACATTAAAAACATCAGTGAAACTCACTTATCTATTTATGAAAGTAGTGAGTACCTAATCCATACATTTTACATATACATGCTTAAAATAAGGTTAAAATTTCTAGGCACTCACTAAAAAACCATGAGAGATTAAACTGTAGACATTCTAATTAAAAACTAAAAGCCAAAGCTGAGATTTCACATGAAATAGAACCCTATGCATATGTAACCTTTGTGTACTATGTACTATTACTTTTCTGTTTTGTGTTCAAAAATGCTCGTAACAGTAGATTACATAGCCTAAGAGTAGGAAACTCTCTGCTCCCTGCCCAAATGTTATTTGTAATAGTAACATGCCTGTTTGCATTTTAAATTTGATCACAGCTTACAGAAAATCCAGTTTTTAAAGCCTGGTAAGGAAAAATAAGAGGAAAAAATTGAAAATAAGAGAATGCATTAATTTTTTTTCTTTTCCTTCAATAATGACTGAATATAATCAATACGGCCTTTCCCACAAGTTTTCCTCCCTTATTGAGTCAAAAGTGATTTACTGATTGTTCTGTCATACCAAACACTGTACACACCTATTTGTATTACTAGATACACACATAATAATGGAATCTTTTTCTTTCTTTAATGTGATGCTCAATGGCCACCTCCCCTGGAAAGTGTCACAAACTACACCAAGCAAAAACTTCAAGATTCTTCTGCAGCCTTTGGATTTCTGTCTGTGTCCCTACTACAGTACTGGCTACCATGTGCTGCAATTTACCATAGTTCTAATAGATATTTAATAAATGGCTACTTTATAGCAATTAAGCTT